AAAAAAAAACTAAGATCATGGCCACTGGTCCCATCACATCCTGGCAAATAGAAGAGGAAGCTATGGGCGCAGTGACAGATTTTACTTTTGTGGGCTCCATGATCACTGCAGATGGTGACAGCAGCCATGAAATTAAAAGACGCCTGCTTCTTGGGAGGAAAGCGATGACAAACCTAGACAGCATCTTAAAAAGCAGAGACATCATCTTGCCGACAAAGGTCCGCATGGTCCTATGGGCGCAGTGACAGATTTTACTTTTGTGGGCTCCATGATCACTGCAGATGGTGACAGCAGCCATGAAATTAAAAGACGCCTGCTTCTTGGGAGGAAAGCGATGACAAACCTAGACAGCATCTTAAAAAGCAGAGACATCATCTTGCCGACAAAGGTCCGCATGGTCAAAGCTATGGTTTTTCCAGTAGTGATGTATGGAACTGAGAACATGACCGTAAAAAAGGCTGTGCACCGAAGAATGGATGCTTTTGAATTGTGATGCTGGAGGAGACTCTTGAGAGTCCCCTGGACTGGAAGGAGACCAAACCTATCCATTTTGAAGGAAATCAACCCCGAGTGCTCACTGGAAGGACAGATTCTGAATCTGAGGCTCCCATATTTTGGCCATCTCATGAGAAGAGAAGACTCCCTGGAAAAGACACTGATGTAGGGAAAGTGTGAAAGCAAGAGAAGGGGACGTCAGAGGACGAGATGGTTGGACAGTGTCATCAAAGCTACCAACATAAGTGTGACCAAACTCCAGGAGGCAGTGGAAGACAGGAGGGCCTGGCGTGCTCTGGTCCATGGCGTCACGGAGAGTCAGACATGACTTAACGACTAAACAACAACAACAGGCCCATGAAATCAGTTGGGAGTCATTATTTATGTAGCTTAAACAGAGTGGCTTAAACAGAGTGGCGTACAATACCACATATGCAGGAGCTTAATGGAATCCTCCTTAAATTTGGCTAAGATTGAGCTGAGTGGAGTCTCAGCTCAAGACTCCAAATCAGTTTGGGACTTAATTTAGAGTCTCTATGGGATCGAATTAGTATTTTACACTATTTTAAAGCTAGTCACCGGTGGCTGTTTTGTTAGGATACTAGCAATATTGCAAATGCAATTAATGGTTTAATGACCTGTAATTTCACTATTTGAAGGGAAGAGAAATAAACAATTTGTAACCAAGAGGGTGAGCTAATACTGGTTTGATTTAACACGTATTCCCCCAGTTTTGGGTCTACAGCTACTAGACCAATCTCTTAATTGACATAAATTGCCCCCTTTGCAAAATTTGTCCACTTCACAAAATAATGGATGACTAAAGAAAGGGGTCAGTGAGGATCGGACAGAAGGTAATTTATTTGGTCAATCCTTCTAAATTTTTACCACATTCTTAAAGAATAGATTGTTATCAATGGCATTGGAATTAAATTATATACATAGATCTAAGAGCCTACATAATATTTCCAGATCCTCAGCTTATATTTCCAGTAACATCCATTTGGGAAGTTTGGGATCAACACGTATACAGAAACAGCTGTTTTACCTAGTATTCTATACAATAGATTTTCAAATCTGGGACAACCCCCAAGCCTCCCCCTCTTTTTTTGAATATAGAAATCCACTGAATGGGATACTTCCAATTTTTTGGAGCTATGGATAAAATTAATATCAGCAATCTGTGAGTATTTAAGGGCCTAATCCAATATCCCTGTAGGCATAACTTGAAAGAGTTAGGTTAATCTTGGTAAAAATAAGATCTTGGCTGCTGCTATGTGACCCCATTATGACAGATTCAACTTTTGCCATTGTATGAGTTTTGTTTAACTAGATGTAACAGTGTTTAGAGTTTCATTCATAGGCATCCTTCAGTCTCGAGAGACTATGGTATCATGCTCTGCATTGAGGACTTGGAACAGCATCTAGTGTGGCTGAAAAGGCCAATTCAAGAGGGACAATCCCTTCCACACTGAGGACAAATGCAGTCTGTACTCCGTCTAGCTCCCTGATTTTGCTGCTTTCATGACTGCCACTTTGCCTTGGCCTGCTGGACAAGTGTCTCTTCAAATTGGGAGAGGCTGTGATGCAACGTCTGCCTCCAAGCTGAACACTCAGATGTCAGGGTTTCTCATCTGTTGAGATCCATTTCCAAGGCCTTCAGATCCCGCTTGCAGATGTATTGCAGCTGTGGTCTCCCTCTGGGGCGATTTCCCTGCACTAATTCTCCATACAGGAGATCCTTAGAGTTTAGGGTGTTTAATTCTGTCAAATGAGGGCACCGTTGCTCCTAAGTATTTTATTGAGGAGTCATTTCTAGGAATACCCATAAAAGAGTGTCCTGGGTGTTAACAGGTGTACTTAATTGCGTGATCAGATGCAAAAATCAGTAGGACTTTTGCACTTTTAGGGCAGTGATTCTCAAGCTTGGGTTCTCAGATGTTCTGGAACTGCAACTCCCAGAAATCTTGGACAGCACAGCTACTGGTGAAGGCTTCTGGGAATTTTAGACCAAGAATATCTGTGGATCCAAGATTGGGAACCACTGCTTTAGGGTATTCAAAGAAGATATAATTTTTAATGCTCATAACACCTACTGAAATTGCCTCTTCTACACTACAATTAAAGATACACCAGCCGTCTTGCATATCTGACCTCCTTACTATCTAACTAGGCAGAATGGGTCCCCATTAGCTTTTAAAAGTAGTGGCAATGTGTAAGCATCACACATTGCAGTCTGTATATCCAGGAGAAACTCTGCCTAAATGAACACTTACTTCGCTTGCTTCTTACACAATTCTCCAAGTTCTATCATTAAAACCACACATATACACTGGGGAGAAAACCAAGCTTTTGAAGCTGCATTGCTAAAGCTATGGAATGAGTTCATCTGCATAGAGAAATTACCAGAGCAACTCCGTCAAAATCTCAAAACCCATTTTTAAAAATGCATGTTTTGGAGAACTGTGCAGCCTTTATGGAAGTTCCATCTTTCTGCTGTTTTCCTATTGCCAATATACGTTTTCTTTCTAGTTCATGTTTTCATTCATCTTATGCTTACACTGATTTTTAAAAATGTATAAGCCACTTAAGACTTTGGAAGAAATAGTATAGAAATCGATAAACAAAATAAACAAGTAATAAAAAAACTAATGTCTCAGCTACTGAAGACAAGGCTGAAATGGCCATGACTTAAATACCTGTAAGGGTTTCTTCTTTTGGCACTCGATTTTAGTGGTCAAGGGACTGCAGAAGCTAAGTTTATTTAATGCAATACATCTTCCCTCTAGTAAGACTCACTCGCTGGCTAGCTGCCCTGCTCGTTTGTTTGTTACTTTGTTTGTTTGTTTGTTTGTTTATTATACCCCCACCATTCTCTTTTAAAGGACCCAAGGCAGCTTACAACAATTAAAAGAAGTATAACATGATCCTGTCCTTCACAGATCTCAACCATGTACCTAATTCACTATGTCTCACTTATTGTGACAGCTTTTTATAGGAGTCTCACAGTGCAATCCTAAACACTTAGTCAGAGAAGTAAATTTCTCTGTGTTCAGTGGGCCTTTTCTCTCTACTAAGACTCTCTACTAGACTCACCGCCAGAATCTATTAACTATTTACCACAAAGGGCAATGATTAAGGCTGTTTTTGTATTACTGTATTAAAAACTTGCCCATAATAAGGGAAGTGTCCTTATTACGTGTAAGATTGGCATTTACGTAGCCCACCACCCCATTCTCTCCTGTAAACATCTGCAGAAAAGAGATACCCTTTCATACATCAACACTCTTTTCTCCTGTGTATACATGTGTAGGAGTCATTTTCTGCAGAAACACACAATCACCAGCAAACATTGTTACTTTCTGTATACCACCTTAACTCACCATTAATTACTTCTGGGAATGGATGTGGGGGGGAGCATGTACCCCCCTACACACCCTATCCCCACCACCACCGCCACCCACAAACTCACCTTCAGTAGACCAATTGCTCAAGCAGAAACGAAGGTTGATTCAAAGCAGGGCATTAGAAGGAAAAAACAAGAAGTACAGAAGTTTTCAGTGGCTGACCTTGTACTGTTCATGGTGAGAACAAGTTTATATTGTTGCTATCTTGGAGCTGCTCTTCTCTCACATGTGAAGCCCAAGAGGGCTGCCCTGTGGGGTGGAGAAGAAAACTAATAAAAGGCACTGAGAGAGACCTCTGCTTGCAATCCCATTCAACATTTCCACCTTCTCTGTCTCTCTCTGTGTCTTTTTCTTTGAGCCTGGCTCAAATATCACAGCCAGCCAGCCAGCCAGACCTCCAAAGAAACATGGGAACTGACATCATCACACTACACTATTAACCCTTTATCAGTCAATTATTATCTGCCAATATTAAAGGCTGATTGGCGTGTCTCCCTTAGCTCTGCACAAGATTTACCTGCAGTCATTTGGCTGAAAGGGGCCTTTTTGTCATGTGCCCACATCCACATGAGTATGTGTCACAATTTCTTTCATTTCAGCTTTGCCCAGAGGAAATCTTAATCTATTGCAGAACCTGGTAGTATTTTCTTCAGTGTTGAAATCGCACAACAGCTGCACCCATAAACACTGTATGTATATTCTAAATTTGATCCAGTTTCCTAAAAGGAAGAGGATTCTTGATCTGGAATTTTAAAGGAATTTTAAAGGAGCTATACTCCTGAACCATAGGGTAGAAAATAATAGATTTATTAATTGCTATCCTGTGATCCAGAACTCCATCTTCTAGGTACAAGGTTTTGAATGCAAAAAAGAAAAAACTCTAAGAGGTGGAACACCATGTCCTGCAAGGCATCTGGGTAATCCTTTTGTCATGCAGATATCTGGTCTTGGCAAAAAAATGTAAAAAATCTACACAATCTACTATGGTCTATATATGTATATGCTGTGTAAAGAAAGTGGGCAGTGACCACCAATCTAGGGCAGCAGCCATATCATATCATTCATTATCAGACAGTGAATAGCTCCATCCAAGTAGTGTCTAAAATGCAGTTGCATTGGCCTATGTGTGCTTTTATCACATTCTTTCACAAATCTTGTGACTAGGATTAAGGAGACCTGGATTCAAAAGCCATGTTGACTATGAAGCTCACTGTGTGACCTTGGACCAGCCACTATCTGAGACTCTAACATATTTTACAAGGTTGTGTCAAATGCAAACACAGCAAGGGAACATGTACAACACTTTGAATCCTGTAGAGGAAAGGCAGGGTGTAAATGAACAGCAGCAACAGTACTGGTAAGCTATGTATCCTGAAAGCCAATGTGGTGTAGTAAATAGAATGATGGACTAGGTCGCAGGAGACGTGGGTTCAAATCCCTGTTCAACTGTAGAAATTCACTGTAGATGGTGGCAGTGATAAAACCACTCCCTAAATACCTGAAAGATATCTTAAAATATCTTAAAGAAGGAAACCCTCCAAACCTTAATGTTGGCAGGTACTGTCAAATTGGAACTGACTTATGGTGACCCCGGCTGGGCTTTCAAGGTAAGTGGATATTTAAGGAGTTATTTTACCAGTTCCACTCCCTGTGAGTTTCCACAGCTGAATGGGTATTTGAACCCTCATATCCAGAGTTGTAGTCCATTACTCTATTCACGACTACACCACAGTGGATATCTATAAAACCCTACTAGGGTCACTATAAGTCAGATATGACTTGATGGTGTTGAACATAACAGGCAGTGTATCAGCTTGTGTCTCCTCTCCACAACTTTCCAGTCAGATCTGTTTGTTTTCTCCATCACCTTTCAACATGTTTTAATATTTACTTACTTATTCAATTGTATTTTAATTAGCATATACTTTAATTGTTTTTTTAATGTTTAATTTTTTATGTTTTAAGTTCTATTCTTTTTATGTTGTGAACCATCTTGGGTTCCCTTATCAGGAGAAAGGCGACCTACAAATAAAACAGATAAATAATAAACATATTTCTTAGCACTCATGTCTAATGTGCTGATGAAGTGTTCAAACATTGGAATGGCATTTGTCATTCTCCTTGTTGTCTCCCTTATACTTTTAAGGGGTCACAAACATTTTGTGAATGGTACTTACCTGAAAATGAAGCAGTTCAGAAAGAGAAGGTAGACAAAGGTCCAAACACTTATTAGTACAGATGTGATATAGATAAATTACAAGTATTATGTGCTACTGCCCTCTACAGGTGAAAATGCATATTTGTGTGCTTATTTCAATTGTAGCTAGAGAGCTCAGCAGTTTAGGTATCTGGCTGTGGAGCCAGAGGTAGGCAGTTGGGTTTCCCACTGGGCTTCCTTCAAGTAGAGCCAGCCTGTGTGGCCTTGGGCAAGCTGCATAGTCCCAGGGCGCCCCCAGAAGAAGGGAATGGTCAACCACTTCTGAGCATTCTCTACTTGGAAAACTCTGCAAGGGATTGTCAGAAGTCAGAATTGACTTGATAGCACATGATGATGATTTCAATTGTACATATTGTTGTTGCTGTTGTTGTTTTGTGCCATCGAGGTGCCCCAAACTTATAGCGACCCCACAAATGGGCAATCTCCAAAATGTCCTGTCCTCAACAGCCCTGCCCAGATTTTGCAAACTCAAGCCTGTGATTCCACTGAAGGAGTCAATCCATCTTATATTTGGGATTCCTCTTTTCTTGCTACCTTCTACCTTTCCCAGTACATTAGCATACAGCAACAAATGACTGTTAGCCATTGCTCTCCGGAATCACAGGATATATGCATTGTGCTAAATACATTTTCTGCCAAATAACATATTTTGATAAATAGTTGAAAGGAATACCTTGAAGACTGAATTTTCTTTGACCAGTAGGTAACACTCATAATTTCACTCCAATTGACTTTTTGTTCTGCCTAGTATGTCAATCACATTTAATCTCCAAATCTTCTGATATGAGGAATTGCCATGTTTCTCTGTGCTTTCACTCTCATCCAAAAAGGAACTATATTCTTCAGCACAGAGCAATGGAGAAAGGACCAGGTAACTGGCAGGTCTTTGAGATTGGGAAGGACAAGCATTTTAATATTGCCTGAAGTGAAAACTGATACCTCAGGCTGAGTCACAGGTTTACAGCCTCTATCTTGGGATAATACTTTAACTTATATCATCCCAGCACTGCAACATCCTGTCAACAGCCTTTCTGGACTTTTCTATTTCTTCCCCTACCCCCTCAAATTCTGCTCTGCCCAGCCTGAGGAAACGGTCTACTGGGTTTGAAAGCTCAGTTGTATCTGATACATTTATGGTCTAACAAAGGTATTGTCCATCCTTGCTCTCGAATTTTGTATAACGACTACAGAATGTTTTTTTCTTTCCCAATAGGATAAAACTAACCTAAAACTAGTTCATTAACTAGTGTCCTAGTGACACTAGTTAATGAACTAGAAACAGTGAAGCTGTGGGTGCAATCAGACAGTGATATAGGAGCACCCTGTGTAAAGGGTCACTTCAATTGATCCAATCTTCCTTAAAATGTCCCTTCTGTGCTCATGCATTCTGATCCTGATTGTTCCAGCACGACCACCAAAATAAAAAATTTAAAAAAGAGTAGCCCTGTCACTGGACTAAATAGGTAAATGGTCCAAAACACAAGCCAGATTGCCACCTGATCACACCCAGTGTCACTTTTAATGAGACTGTAGGAAGCCTGTAGGACCAGGTACCGCTCTACCTTTTGATTCCTTCTGGAGGTGACACCAACATAATCTGGCCATGAGGAGCCACCAGTCATTTCCACTTCAGTACCAAAGGATCAGTGGAGAGAACATCAAGCCAAAGTAATATGAGGAATGTGCAGTGGGTCAGAAACATAAAAACTGAATGAAAAAATATGTGCCACAGAAACAGGTGTTAATAGTCAGATCCCTGTCTACACATGGGATACCAAATTCAAAGAATAAATATAAATATATAAAGAAGCAAGTAGTAATAATTGTTCTAGTATTATTTTTAAAGGAGTAGCACTCTGTCCTCTGAAGATGCCGGCCACAGAGACTGGCGAAATGCTAGGAAGAGCCTTCAGAACATGGCCAAAGAGCCCAAAAAACCCACAAGAACCATTAGATCCCGGCCGTGAAAGCCTTTGCGAATACATTGAACACCTCTACGGGGAGGAAACAGTCAGAGATGAAGACACCTTCCATGAATGAATCGTCCACTTATAGCAGATTCTTCTGCCCACTTCCCAAGAGATTCTTTTTTTCCTTTTAGCCTTCTTTGCCACTCCCACCCCATTCAGCCAGGTCCTCTAACCTTTGGAAGATGCTTCTAGGACACTGGAGAGACAGCCTGTATCTGGGAGAAGACATCAGGAAGTCACATTCCAGCAACCTGTTTCTATGTGCATTTCTTTGGAGTCATGGGGCTGTCTGACCCACTGAGTGGTGCCTGAAAGCTGGTAGATTGTGTTCTGTAATCACCAAAGAAGAGAGAGAAGTGCGTGAACAGACGGATCTGGACTTTAGCGAATGTGCAAGTGGGCCACTTTAGATTGACCGATCCACACAAAGATGTTTCACATATACACCTGAAAATATGGGCTGTGACTTCAACAAATATATCTGTAACAACTTGTACCACACAGGGATTTGTTTATTTATTTATTTAAAATATTTTTACCCCCCACCTTTCTCCTTGAAAAGTATGCTCAGCTGGGACCCATGATTGGTTTCTTGAATGTCTGCCTGGTCAGGGGATGACTGCATAGGCACTGAGTTTGCTGTTTAGCCTACTGCAGGGGTGGGTTGTTTCATTCCTAAAGCCCACAACCTGACAACATTTTTACTGGCGCAAACTGGCCTGCTCCCAGAGTGTTCCTATCCATAATTTTTGGCCCCTCTCAGGAGCTTCATCTCTCTTTTTTTTAGCACAGGTAGGTTTGCTGTTTTGTTTAATTTCTAGGACATGTCATTGCTACAAACAAACCAAAGCAAACTAGAAAGTTAGAGTTCCCTGCTCCAATTTGCCAGCCGGTTTAAATTTCCCTGTGTCATTAGTGGTTTAAACAGCATGATATGAAGCAATTGGAAATTTCAAATAAATAAATTTAATGGAGCAGAGGGAGGAAGCAAAAGAAGAAGAAGAAAAACACCAGTTATGGCAGTGCTAATGCCCAGGAAGCCAACTTGCTTTGTCGGAGACAGAAAAGTTGTAAAGAAAGTGGTGGAAAACTCTCTCTTTGCTCCCTGCTGTCTCTTCCTGCTACCAGTAGAAAG